AATGCAAGACAGGTTATCTCAAATCTTAAGTATGAAAACAAGACAACATTTTGCAAACATATTAGCAGAAACAACATAAAATACATTCTATGAACATGTCTGGAGAATCTGTTGTGAAAAGGTCAACACATAAGAAAAGAAAGAGAAATAATGAGTAAAGAAAAAAAAAGAAGACTAAAGAAAAAAGAAAAGTCAAGTATAAAGAAGAAAAGAAAGGCTAATCAGCAAGCAATAGAAGAAAGAAAAAAGAAAACTTAAAAAAAAAGAGCAAATAAAAAAAGAAGTTAGGAAGACAATTAACAAGCTTATCATAAAAGGTAAAAGACCCTTTCATTACAGATGTTAAGTAGTTAGACAAGCAGCTTACTTTTGCTAGAAGTAATGTGGCATGTTGCACTTAGGTGCCATTAGGGTAGCTGGGTGATGCTAGGCTCAGTTGTTAGATAAATTTATATAATTACAGTAGTAGTTTCAAAAATCTTAATAAAGCACTAATGTAACTCCTTAAAAAAAAAAAAAATTGCAGTATTGTATTTATTTATTTTATTAACTGATTGTACTCTTGTACCACAAAATATTTATAATATAAGATACAGTATATTATATACTGGTACTCTAATTGTTACTTTACTGTGAATAACTTCTACTTTATTACAAATAACTTCTACTTTATATATGTTTTATTCAGATATTTTGATATAGTGAAGCATAGTGGCCAGTTTGCTTACATTTTTTACCTTTTTTTCCAAATCTTGTAATGATTTGATCATTATTTGAATTTTCAGTTATGTTTTGGACTTTACATTGCATTTCTTCACTGGTTTGATCATTACTTGAAGTAGTTGTTATACATTGTCATGCTTTTTTTGAAGGCTTTTCATTAGATTTATATCTTTTTGATTGTTAACCTTTGTGTGATACATATAATGAATCTCCAATAAACAAGTGATCAGTATCATGTTGTTTGTTGAACAATTTATCTTTTATTTCATCAATAAATTTCTCTATTTGATCAATAAACTCCTTAATTTTATTAGCCCAAATTGCAAGATCAAGAGCTTTCTTTGCATAACCCATTCCAAGTTCAAATTTTTGTTTAGATCCTTGTTTCTGTTGAATATTAGAGGTTTGTCTAAACTTTTCTAGGTGTTGAAATGACAATGGTTCAGGTGAAAGTAGTTTTGTTGTCTTGGTTCTTATGATATAGTATATTAATATTTCCTTTTGATGGATATTATACTTTGATTTGTTATACTAGTAATGAAAAAATTAATGAAATATGAAACTGTGCATTAGCTGAATAAGAAATAGTTCAAAAAAAATGCTGACATACAATACTTCTATTAATGAGCCAAAGGCAAGTACACAAATGTGATTATTATTAAGAAGAATTACATATTGTAGCTCTGAGTTTTTGCTCATAATGCCTAACCACTTTCTACACTTTCAGAACAGAGTTATGAAATATATTTTCTAACAATGATGACAACAGAGATTGCAGTTGATCATAGTCATCTTCTCTAGCCATGTCATATTGATAAAAATTATCTGTTAACTAAAAGAGAGAAAAGGTCATAATAACTTATAAGTAATGCTATTAGATATTATGATTCTTTCAAATTGTCAATATGTCTTACCTTAATAAGTAATGACCAATCTTTAATTAAAAACACATTATAACATAGTAATTGGGCCATTTGATCATGTTGCTTTTGAAGGATTTGTAGCATTAGATATTCTTGCAAAACTTGGCAATTTTAGAAAAGTATTCTTCTGTTATATTTGGAATTCCTTTTGTCAGAATTTCATTTTTATACTTATTTAAAATTGCTTTTTTTGACTGGTCATTAAATAACCTTTGAATTTCTTCAACTATTTCAGTTAAATGAAAAGTTCTATTCAACCTGTCTTTAATTATTTTATTATATACTTCTATACATTGTGTACTCTGAATTCTTGCAGTAAAATTTCTATTAATTGCATAACTAGTTCAACTATCCTTACAAGGGTATAAAATCCTTATAAGATATTGCTTACAATTAGAATATTTAGTAATAAGTTTATTTCATTTATTTTCAAATTTTTTTTAACAAAGAGAGTTTCTCATAACAAATAATTTTGTATAAAAAAATTCAAATTGATCATGCAGTTTTCTCTTAAGTTTTTTTTTTAAATTTAGGTTAATATAAAAGATACAATAAAAGTGTTATGTTTTTGAGTAATTTTTTCATACTGCTGATATTAGTGCCAGATCAGCATCAAAATATAGAACTGCTAGTATAGTGTCACATGAATTTTTTAATTCTTGAAGAACTTACATAAATGTTGCTTTTGTTTTATTTTTCAAAAGTGCAGCAGCCACTATCAAATTACAAAAATTATTGTTTACAACAATAATTAACATCAAAATCATATTAAATATATTAGTTTTCAATATTGCATCAACAATTACAACATTATGATATCTTCTATATGCATTAATTTGATCAGAGAACATCCAGAATAAGGAATTTAATCTTCTTTCTTCAGGTTCAAAATGGGGCTTTACTATCTACCTCAAATCATCTTCCTTCTTTGAATACAATTCAGTAAGCATTTAATATGCATCATTTTTAGTTGATTTAACTTGTGTTTTATATTTTTGTATAGCATTACTTAAATCTTTTTTGTAAATTATTTTATAAGGGAATAAGACAACTAATAGATTATATTGTATAGATATATTCATTTTATTATAGATTATTCAAAACTTAATTTTTTCTAGCATGTTATTAGTTTGCAGAATTTTGGTGCTATTTCAGCAATTAGAGGGTTCATTTTATGATTATGTTCACCAATAATGCTGTTAATGTGAATACTATCTCCTGATTTGAAAAAAGCAAGGTTAACATGCCAAGAATATCCAATCATGTTTGAATCTCAGTCCCTTCTATTTTTAGCTAAAACAGCCTTTTTGAGCTTTATATGTACAGACATGCGAGCATTCATATATCTGACATCTTGTAATAGTATTATCATTTGGATCTTATATACATCTTTTTTTATATAAACAAAATTCTTGTTGTTTAATGTAATCATCAAAGTATTTTTCAGCTATGTCCTACATTTCAAATCACATTTCTTAATTTAGCATTAATACTCTCTCTTCTTCTCTATGTTTACTATCATTATATTCATTATATTTATCATTATCATCATTATTATTATCTTGTTGAACATTCTCATAAATTTCTTCATTTGTATCTTCGAATTGAACTTCATTAACTATTTTAATCAAATCTTTATTTGTATCTAAATCTTTTAATGTTATATTTTTTGCTTTTTGGTTCATATTAATATATATTAAGTTTATTTTATTTAGTATGACAGCTTTATTTAATATTATGAAACTTGAAAGTTATCAATACAAAGGTAAAAGACTTGTCCTTTCATATTGCAACTAATTTGAATTACAAAATCACTGGTTTAACAACCTAATTTTAACTTTTTATTATTGAAACACTATTATACAATATGGAATTATTTTTATTGTGCTTGTATATTGAACTAGTATGTTTTTTATTTTTGTTTTCCTTTTTAATTTAGGCAATTACTAATAATAACTGTCTTTTCTTTTCCTTTATCTGAGTTCATTTTACAATAATATTTCTTTATTCTTCTTATTGAGTTTCTGTATACCTTTTATAAAATTTTGCTTTACTAACTTCCTTTACATATTTTTAGAATCACAATTAATCATACAGAAATTATTTACATCAGTAAGATTTGTTTCATTTATTAATTTAGACAATTTATTAACAATGTGGTTTTTCCTTTTTTCTATACTGCAAATCTTATTATGAGTTTTTGCATGCTGCCTCATATACTTTTTTTTTCTTTGTATCAATTTCTGTTCTCCTTGTTTCACTTTCATGATTTAATTTTTCCTATATTAGTTAAGGCTTAATTATGTAGAAACATTTTTTGGTCAATCATCTTAGTCATGATTCATTAATCATGAATTTAGTGTAACAGTTTCTAAGGTTAAATGAATTCTATTATTAATGCTTGTAATGGTTCTTAAACACAATTAGAATAAATTTTTAATTGGTAGAAAATAATTTAGTTAAGTGAGTTTTTTGTTGCAATGAAAAAATAATGATCATACTTATTTTTTTTTTTTGTAGAGTTTGGATGCTTGTATCAGATATTAATAGGGTTAGAATTTGTTTATAGTTTAGGCTGCATAGAGATTTTTTTGTACTTTGTATTATTTATTTAGTTTAGCTAAATGAATTGTGAAATGAGAGAGTGGTGACCAAGTGAAGTGGATAGGTTGTCAACTCACAAGTAGCAGGTCTAGAGTTCAAATCCCAGTAATAATAAAAATTTGCAATTCTTTCTGTGTTATAGTTAACTGTTTTCCATAATTGGTTAGGATAAAATACTTGTAACCTGTGTTATACTAGCATGACTAGAAGGTCTAGGCATTCATACAATGTTGTACAAAAGAACACAAACTGGTACTGGGTAGTATGAACTTAAGATAAGTTCTTAGGCTGTGTAAATCATAGGAACTAGATAAAAAGACAGAAGCCTACTTGGAAGACCCAAGTAGAGAGGTAATCTGAACTTTTGACAGTGCTACTGTAAAGACTAGACTTAGCAAATATGCTAGTCTTTGAGAAGGAACCAGATGAACCAACCAGACTGCCAAAATTTCCAGGTTTCAAAGAAAAAAGGTACATGTTGACAAACATGTAAACCAGTGGTGTATAGTTTCGACCTACCTTTTTGGACTATCTGAAATAGCAGCTTAATAAAACTTGAATTGAATATCAAAGTAGTAAGAATATATTGTGAAGTCAGTACCAGAGTTAAGATGAACTTTACAAAGGCATAGCAGTTTAATGGTACATACTGACTACCAGTGTTGGTCTCAGCTATAGCAATACTGGATCAGCTATAAAAAAGAATACAGAAGATTCTGAAAGGTTTAGTACAAGGTTAAAGGTCTCAAAGAACTGCCTTAAAGACTTAGTAGCCATGGCATACTTTTACCAACATTAGCTGAAGTCATTAATAGGCAGAAGTAGATAGGTAGATATGGAAACTAAAGTAATTAAATAGGAAACCTATAAGCAGGTTTCAGATATGGCAGCTAGTATAGAACCTTCGAGCAGACTACTTAAATTAAACAATGACTAAAGTTGTATGAGTGCTAGTTGTACACTCTTTTCATGGTTGCTTTCTGTGGTTGTAATGCAATTATTAGCTAAATATACTATTAATAACATTCTAGGTCACAAGTACTCACTTTAATATTTAAAAAAAAATAAATAGTGAAGTGTAATGTCTGATGTAAATGTTAATTGAAACATTATATATGAAATATATAATTATATAAATCTATCTTTACACTTCACTTTGTACTAGAATAGATTTGAACTGGGTTTTATAATAACTCAAGCTTTGTTATAATTTAAATCTGATTCTTAATTTTATTTTTGATTAAAAATTATTATTCATTGCCAGTGCAATATATCACTAATTATATGACTAACTAATCAGTGAAATCAAACCAATAAAAAAACAATGCCATATTAGTTTAGGGTTAGAGCCAAGATTACATTAGGATTAGGATTAGTGATATGCAATAGCAAAGATGTTTTTTGAAAAAATCATGATGTTTATGTTACACCTAATTATAAATTTTCTATTTTTATTACACTTTATAAGTAAATCTATTTACTAGGTGATTTCACCTATTAGTAGGTAATTTCATCTAAATAATGTCACTCAGAGTGCAAGTTAGCAATAGTCTTAAAATATTACAAAGTTAATAAAATTAAAAATTAACAATAAAATTAATATTTAATTATAATATAATAAAATTAATTTTAAATAAAATTTTGACTAATAGCAGAAAGTTTATTCAATTAATATGAAGAAGTAAAAAGATTTGAAATATTGTAAAACTTTTTAAAAAACCATGCTTATAAAATAATTAAAAATATAACATAATAGAAAATAAATCAAAAAATTGAAAAACTTTTAAAATATTTGCTAACTTGCAAAAAAATTCAAATAAAATCAAACTTCTATATATGCAAAAGCTATACAATAAAGTTTATCTAGCTTGTAAAAAATATATTTAAATTTAATGAAATAACAACTTTAATTTCTAGATTAGCTTAATAAATTATAAAATATTTGCATTATTTTGAATAAATTTCAAAAAATTTGAAATATGAAATATTGAAAATTACATTAAAGTTATGAAAAATATTTGCTAATTTTCTATATTTGAAATCTTTTGCATTATTTGCTACTTATTAATTTAATAAAATATCATTGTTTAACAATAAATTAGTCATAATTACTCACTATATTATAATTATTTTATTAAATGATGCAAGAATGCATATAATGAAAAAATATACTAAATATAATTAATTGTTTACAAACAGATTAAATTATTTTAAAGTATTTTAAAAACACTAAAAATAGTAAATATAATTAAAATTATATGTTAATATTTAAAAATAAATGAAATAATTCAAAATAATTAGAAGTTAAAAATTTTGAGTATATTAAAAGTATTTAATAAAATGTAAAATATTCGAATACATTAGATTTTTTTTTTTAGAAAAATGCATCTAAGTGTACTTTTTATTTATAATATTTTTGATTTTGATTTTAATTGATTACAGATTTTATGAAGATGATTTGATGAATTTTAGAATAGTAT